GGTCAGTCTCTGTGATTAAAACAACTTCAGTGGGTGTGCATCGACAGCTCATTGTGGTTTTAGTTTGCATTTCTCCAATGGTTAACGAGGGGCACACCTTCTCATGTGCTTCGTTGCCTTCCCTTTATCTTCTTTGGTGAAGTCTCTGGTGAAATCTTCACTGGTTTGTTTTCTTCTCATTCAGCTTTGAGAGTTCCTAACATACTGTAGCTTCAAGGACTTCAGCAGACGTATGCTTTACAACTGTTTTCTCCCAGGCTGTGGCTTGTCTTTCCATTCATCTAACAGTGCTTTAGAAGAACGAAAGTTTTACATTTTTATGACGTCCCATCACATTCACCTTTTTCTTTGTGGATCATGCTTTTGGTGTCACATGTAGTAACTCTTTGCCCAAAGTCACAAAGATTTCCTGTTTTCTTATACAAGTTTTATATTTAGATTCATGATCTATTTTCACTTAACTTTTTTTTATGTTGTGAGGTATGAATCAAAGTAACTTTTTTTTTTTTTTTTAACATAGCTAGTTGTTCCAGAATCATTTCTTGACAAGGCTATCCTTTCTGCATGGAACTGCCTTTGCAACTTTGCCCATATATGTGTAGGTTTGTTTCTGAATTCTCTGTTCTGGTCCATTTATCTATCTTTACGACCATACCACAATGTCTTGATTACTGAGGTTTCACAATAAGTCACGAAATCAGTCATGTTAGCCCTCCAACTTTTTCTTCTTTATCAAAGTTATTGTGGCTCTTCTAGATGCTCTGCATTTCCACATGAAACTCAGAATCAGCTTGTAAATCACTACAAGGAAGCCTGGGGTCTTGATCGAGGTTCTGTTAAATGTGAAGATCAATTTTGGGAGAACTGACATCCTAACAATAATAATTCTTCTGACTCTGAGCAATGTGTGTTGTTGTTGTTCTTAGGTGCCATTGAGTCAGTTTGGACCTACAGCGACCCTATGGACAACAGAACAAAACACTGCCTGGTCCTGTGCCAACCTAACAATCATTGCTATGCTTCAACCCATCATTGCAGCTGCTGTTTCAATCTATTTCATTGAGGGTCTTCCTCTTTTTC